TGGAGTATTCCTCTCTGGAGAATCCTCAGCAGACCAGGTCTACAGATCGTGATTTGGGGGATCACTTGTAAAATGGCTGGGCCCTGCCTGAACAACTTAGAGAACAAAGCACATCTCTCCAGTATCATCTTCCATTACTATTCCACAACTTTCAACTTGAGTGGAAACAGTGGCTTCTTATGCAAAAAGGACTGGTTGGTTACCCAAAAAGTCAATTAAAACATATCATCTGCTGTATGCGGATATATTTTTTAAACCAGTTCATTCATCAAATTTTTATTGGAGCTCCAATCCATTTTCTTTGAGGAAGCATCGACTGATTGAAATTTCTCTTTGTGTTTCTCGTAAAACCACACCTGTAATGCACACAAGGCTTCTGACACAAAGACACATTTGAAGTAAAATGAGTGCAGAATCCTTCAAGATTTTAAAAATTAATGCCATAGCCTCTTTTATAGTTATTTTGCCCATTTCTAATTAACACTTTTTAAATTTAGCGATTGACCTTTTATCAAGTCTTCGGGCATTCAACTTTGAATATCTTATACAAACTGTTTTCTTTTCATAATCAGGGTTTAATTTGCAAGACTATGTAATTAAATTATGGAAATACAATAATAAGTACCCAGATGTAAGTTGGTTTGGAAATCAGCACAACCCTCAGAGAGTGTCTCTACCTCTTTGGTCTGAATTATATGCCCCTTCTCTAAGTCCTCATGTTATGAGCAATAGACCAGGGGTCCCCAATCCCAGGCCATGGACAGGTACCAGTCCATGATCGGTTAGGAATTGGACCACACAGCAGGAGGAGAGCAGGGGCAAGCAGAGCTCTGTATTCTGTCAGATCATCTGTGGTATTAGGTTTTCATAGTCACGTGAACACTGTTGTGAACTGTGCACGGGAGGAATCTACATTGTACGTTCCTTATGGGAATCTAATTCCCAATGATCCTCCCCCTACCCACTACCAATAGCCGTGGAAAATTTATCTTCCACAAAACTGGTCCCTGATGCCAAAAAGGTTAGCGACTGCTCCAATAGAGGATCAAGTGGGTAGACTTGGCAGATTAAAAAAAAAAGCGGCTATATAGGCCATGGTAAGGAATTTGAAATTTATTCTAGGAAAAATGAGAAGTAACTGGAAAACAACCTAAATGAGGAGAATGATATAATTTGAGTTTTATAAAGATACTTTTGACAAAGATGTAGAAAACACATATGGAAGAGGAAGAAAGGTAGCAGGATAATAGTGACTGGGCTACACTGGTTACAAGAAAGATGGAAAGGAATAAATTTGGGATATATTTTGAAGATAGAGGTATCAGGATTTGCTGGTGGGTCTGGTGCAGCAGCTCATGCCCGAAATCCCAGCATTTCAGGAAGTCAAGGCAGGAGGATGGCTTGAGGCCAGGAGACCCCATCTCTACTATCTATCTATCTATCTATCTATCTATCTATCTATCTATCTATCTATCTATCTATCCATCCATCCATTTAATCATGTATCCATCATCTATCTATCTAATCTATGATTTGCTGATGGGTTGCATGTAGAGGGGGAGGAAAAGGAGAGAGTTTTAGAATGACTTCCGGTTTATCAAACTTGAGCATCTGGTAGTGAACAGGTGGCATTCACTGAGATAGGAAAGACAGGTGAGGGATAAGTTTGGATGGGGGGAATGAAGATTTCTATTCTAGTCATACCAAGTGTGAAAAGGAGACTAACTAACCAAGAGGAGATGTTAAGTAGGTGGTAAAGTGTGATATGTGATGTTGAAGTACAGTAAAGAGGCCAGGTTTACAGCAAGAAATCTTATTCTTATATGGGATTCCTTTGACCTTTAACCTTAAACTTCTCTTCCTTGTTTCATTCACATTGGGTAGTATTTTTGATTGTCCATACGCTATTAGCACCCTTTTCTTCTACTTCCCTTTGTCTATGAACTATATATTACTTCTCCTGTTAATACTGTTCTGCATCCCATATTTAAACTTTTTATATTTTGTCTACAGATTGAGCCTAAATGTTGAAAACTACTAAAACAGCATTTATAATATCATATAACCATATGAAGTTTGTTCACTTAGGGGCTAAGTCTTGTGCTAGGACTTAATGTCTTTCTCAGTGTGTCCAAAGCCCAGTGCCACTTGGAAAAAAAAAAGGTCCTAGTAGCCATGCCAAATAAATCATCTTCTTGAGATTAAAAATGGTTTTCCAGAAGAACTCTGAAGACATTAACTCCTTTGTCCTTTTGCATCAGTACTACTTGATGCTATATTGATTCTCATTTGTTAGACGGTGACTTATTTTTCTTTCCCTTTATGGAAACTTTTAGAAACGCATTATGATGTTTTGCAATTTTATAATGATGTGCAGGTGTATATCTTTTTCTTCTTTCATACTTGGAAATGTTCAGTAGACTTTTTCAGTGCCTTTTATCTAGGGAAACTCTCTTTTAGAGACTGTATAGAGTAATACTGTAGAGCACTGGTTATGAGTACAGGTACTGCAGTCAGGCTATCTGGGTTCAAATACCAATTACTCATTGTGTAGCCTTGGGTGACAGAGTTATTTGAAGAAGAAATTCAGAATATACCACTTCAAAATATGCCACTTTGGCATATTCACTATTTTGAGTTAAAGGCACCTGAAAACAGCAGATACAAGAAAGCATTCTGATCTTTTTCTTAAAAGCAGGAGAAAAAATTCCCATGTGAAAGGTGTCCTCCCTCTACCAGAAAGGATCATGCTTATAATCAAGCATAGCAATTTGAGGCTTACAAAAATCTACATAAACTTTGTGATACTAACCCTTATTTTCCTAGTCACTTCTCTACTTAGTTACCCTAGCCCAAATTCCTTTGCCATGTCACATTTTCACAATTTACTACTCTTTGTCCAATTGGGTCTTCATTTCCTTATGAAGATGCCCCTGTTATGTAAAACTTGTATTAAATAAATGTGTATACTTTTCTTCTGTTGATCTTTTTGTATATCTTAGGCTCAGCCAAACACTCTGAGAGAGTAGAGGTAAAGTTTTTCCTCCCTACACTTTCTTGTCTGAAAAATGAGAATATTAACAGTACTATGCTATTAGATTTTGTAGGATTGGTGGGAGAATTTAATGAGTTAATATTTTTAAAGTTTCATTAAGTGCCTGGGACATAATATATGCTCAGTAAATGTTGTTTTGATAATTATCTCACCTCTTAATTTTTTTTCTGGAGCTCTAGAAAACTTTGCTCTCCTAAACGAATCCTCCATTTTGCTTTTCTTCATTCATATTTTCTAGGTTTTTGTTTTGTTGCTTCATGCTTTATATTTTTTTGCCTTTCTCCTCCAAATTTTTTTTAAAAATTGACATAATTCTAATCTTTGGCTGGCCATTCATAATTAAGAATAGGAGGGGCACCAGTTTGATTTACCAAAGTAACTGGTGTGGTGGAAGTTGACATCTGGCTAAGACTCTAATGGTCTTAATGTTGGGACAGGGTGGAATACTCATGACTGGAGCTGTTATTTAAGAGACAGACTTTCAAACAACCCTCTGGCTCCCTCCTACCTCCTTTTCTTTCTTGCCTACTGACTGAGCCTACAGCTCCGTCAGGGGTTTTCTCAGATTATCTCTTCTTTCCTGCACCCTTCTAAGTATTGCATCTTTGCTCTTTTATCCATAGATAGTCTTCCATTCTTTCCTATGTTCCAAAAAGTTCTATCTCCCACCCTCTTTACCTTCATGGGTTTATTGCTTTGCTGCTATTTACAGTAATAGGGTCTTGGGAGGCAGGGAGTTTAGATGTTTGTGTTCAGAATCAGAGTTTAGATGTTTGTATCCTGAATCAGAAGTAGAAACTTCATTATCTTTCTAAAGCAGGTCATTGTTACAGATTATCTAATAGTTAGCCCTCTTCTTTAACTACCTCCCTTAAGGTCGAAATCATGCTGAATACTACAATTTCCTATGTCCTGACTGTCAATGTAGCTGCCCTTTGTGCTTAACTAGATTGACCAAATTGCGGAGGTCAGAAGGCTAAAATTCAGTGAGAAACTCCTGACCTGTAAAAGGAATCCTTTGTTGTCCACTGTCGTGTATTACAATAGTTTATTCGGAAGTTTATCTCATCAACTTTGTATGGGGCGAAGACTAGAGCAGGTGCTCAATAAATGCATGCTTGTTGAGACTTGATCCTGCACTTGTTTAAGACTTGCTAAATCCCATTCCAGAGGTAGAGATGACTAGGATGTGAGTTAAGAAACAGATACAACTTGAATAAAATGTGACTTTATTATCATGACATTGTCAGGTAAAATCAATTATAAATCTGAAAATGTTTTATTTATTAGTCTTTGTAATAGTATTTCCTAAATTATGTTTTGTGGCACACCAGTTATGTGAGATGATCTGAAAAATGGGTGGGATGACCAATAAGTGGGGAAAGCACAGTATTTTTTGTTTCCCTTCTAGAAAATTCATCATGCTTATGCTCAGAATAAAGGTTTTGATAGTTCTGAAGTTTTTTTAAAAATCTGTTTAACTTTCAAAAATTAATTGTTTACAAAACGTATTTAACTGGCTCTCTTGGTTTTTTTCTTTGGTGGGGGGGTTGGGGATGACAGTATCTGCAAACATCATGTAAAATTTGTATTCCTCAGAGTGCACGTTGGGAAATCTGCCATTTAGTATCAGCTATCACTTTAACAGTTACAATTATTAAAATATGGTGACAACAACAAGAAACAGGATGCTACTAAGTTTCTACCTTTAAGGCTGGCATTATTAATGATCAGTACTATTTTCATTATATTAAAAATGTTTGGAGACAAGCTGTCTGCTAGGAAGGGCTAACAATAAACTCTCCAAGGGCTGCCCTTGCTGTATATATGTTTTTAACTCCTGTACAGAAGTGACTTTTTTTGGAGGCGTCAGCACAACTAATATGTCAGAATTTGGAAGCGTAACCTGAGTAATGAAAAAGGTTTTTGCCATTGCTAACCTTACCTATTCCACAAGAAGCCTTTTGCATCCTGCTGTGTTTTACCGGCAAAACCAGTGGACATGTTGGTTTTTGGAAGTCACTCCTCTGGGTACTCTTAGTGTCATAAGGTGGTAGGAAGGCAGGTTCCGGTGCTTTACCATGTGACCACCAGTCACCCTTTATAGAAGAAAAATGGGAAACACATAATTGGATACTGTAGAATATAGTCCTGTGTTGCTTGTTGTTTACAAATGTTCAGTGATTAAGTTCAACAAGTTAGTGGATATTCTAGTACAAAAATAGAGTCATAAACTCTAAAACTAAATATCTTTCCAGAAAGACCATATTTATTAAAAGGCACTTAAAAGCCAGGCTCGGTGGCTCAGCCTGTAATCCCACACCTTTGGGAGGCTGAGGTGAGGGGATTGTCTGTGCCTGCGGGTTCAAGACCCGCCTGGGTAGCGAGACCTCATCTCGACAATAAATCAAAAAATCAGCCAGTCGTGGTAGTGCATGCCTGTAATTCCGGCTACTTGGAAGGCTGAGGCGGAAATATCACCGGAGCCCAGCAGGCGAGGCTGCGGTGGCCGGGAGCGGCCACTGCACTCCAGTCTGGGCAAGAGAGTGAGACTACAACTCAAAAAAAAAAAAAGGAACCTAAAAATGAGTTGTCATATGTTTAGCTAAAATACAGCTGTTAAATTCTTAAGCTACCTTCTATCAACAGATGAAATGGTAAACATCAGCAAAATAGTTGTATTTCTGTTTTGTACTACAATTTTATTATATGTACTTAAGGTGATTTTCAGAGTTTTTAGTTCACGACCCACATCTTAAAATACATTTGATGTCATGCAAGAGCACACAAGGCTGCACATACATAAACCGGAAACAAAAGTTTCGTGCTTATTCTTACTACATGAGGTACACTCAGCTATTTTCCTATTCTATTTTATTGCTTTCTATTACATTTCACAATACTGACTGAAATTCACACTGATTTATAATTTACTAATGACTCCATTTGAAAAACTGTGTTCTAAGGGAAAATATATCCAATGTTACTGAATTTTGAGTATGAAAACCTAAGTACACGAGAAAGAATGGGCAGATTTTTTATTAGCACACAAGACAATTTAATCTCTTAGAAGTTGAGAAAGTAGTAAGGGGAACTGTTATTCAACTCACTTGATCAGGTGGAAATAAGAGAAGCTTTGAGATAGGCAACTATGATTCCTAGGAGTTCTTGGAGAGGATTAGGGAATAAAAGTAAACTTTGGTGTACTCAAAACACATACCTTGGGCTATAGGGAAGCAGGCCTGTCTTTAAAAAGAGGAACCATGAGTCCACTGTCAAAGTCTTTCAAAATATGATTTAAAGGAGGATGAAGATGTGATTCTAATAAGTAAAATTCTGACAATATTCGAGACCCACCTGGGCAACTTGGTGAGACCTCATCTCTACAAATAAATCAAAAAATTAGCCGGGTGTGGTAGCATGCCCCTGTAGTTCCAGCTACTTGGAAGGCTGAGGCAGAAGGATCGCCAGAGCCCAGTAGGTCGAGGCTGCGGTGGCCGGGAGCAGCCACTGCACTCCAGTCTGGGCGAAAGAGTGAGACTCCAACTCAAAAAAAAAAAATTCTGACAATACAATTGAGACTACGTTGATACAAAAAGGAAGAGGCATCTGGAAAAAAAAAAAAAGATGTACTGCATAGGGAGACAGCTCTTAAACGAGCTTGGTATCTAAAAAGACAGGCATGTATAAAAGATGTGCACATTACATTTTAAGAAATTAATAAAGTCAACTTGTCAGAAGATTGTCAAGAAATTCAGAAATAGAAGAAATTTATGAAACATGCCAAAGGCAGCAAAAATAAGGTTTTCTGGAAAAAAATTATTTGTAGCAAAAAATCAAGGAAAGGCTAACAATTTGAAGAGAACATAGTTCAGAGCTAAAAGCTAAAACTACTCAACTTTAAGTTCTTTGTTAAGGGAAATTACCTTCAAACTGAATAAGATGTACAAAAGAAAGAACTAAGTCCTGGATAGCCAATGAGAGAATGCAACCTCACTTTGTCACTTCAAATGAGTGCCAGTTTTTGGGCTGATGACACATTGTAACCAAGGGTCATTTCTTCAGAGATCACAGAAATGCAGGAACTAGGGGATTTTGGAGACTAGATCAGCTAATGCCTCATCTTTCGGAATGGCCTAAAGGTGAATTTAAAAACTTAGGACTACTTTATATAGATTCTAGGAAAATTCTAGAACAGATTACTAAACAGATGGTGTCTTCTCACTTTCTGGCTGAAAATAGTCACATCTTACTGTTGTCAGAGCGCCTGCTTCTGGCAGCTTTCCTCCATTCCACTTCACAATGATCCCAGTGTTCAGTTGCCCCAAGGTTTAGCATTTATAGGCCTTATCTCACTTATTTTCATCACAACTTTATGAGGCAGGTACAGCCACAGTACAAATGAGAGAACTGTCAGGCAATTAAGTTGCTTCCCCAAGGTATGTCCCTAGCAGGCAGCTACACTGCCACAATCTAAATCCTCACGCCTCTGCACACACCTCTAATTTCTGTGCTGCACTGCAGTATTAAATCTGCTAATGGAATGCAAGACCAGATAAGCACAAACTTAATTACTTGGACAATAAAAATAAAGAGGCTCTCAGTACATGCCATAAGCCATTTTGTGCAGTTATAACAGAATACCTTCAACTGGTAATTTATAATGAACAGAAATTTACTGGCTTACAGCTCTGGAGGCTGGGAAGTTCCAGATCAAGGCACAGGTGGCTTTGGCAATTTTGAGTCTGAGATGGCACCTTCGACACTTGTCCTCACATGATGGAAGATGGGAGGACAAAAAGAGGGCAAAAGGGGATCAAACTTACCCTTTTATAATGGCATTCATTATACTCATGAGGGTGGCACCCTCATGGCCTAATCACTTTCCTAAATGTCCCACTTCTTAATACTTTTACAATGGCAATTGCATTTCAACATGAGTTTTGGAAGGGATAAACATTCAGGAAGTAACCTGAAAAAGTTCTTCTACAATTAAGTTGAAGGTATACACTTCATGTCATCTACTTTTGTTTGATCAGAAACTTATTTTGCTAATACCCAAGTTACTGGAAAAGTGACTCTGGGATAAAAGTGAACCACTAGGAAATGGACTTTAGTTTTTCTTAACCAAGTGTATAATACAAAGCTATCCGTAAAGCAGAGTTATCGGTTCACCTTTTGAGCAAACTTTTTTTGAACAGAGAATTTTACCAAAATGGTCTTAGTTTCACATAGAAAATAATGAACAATTTTTCCTAAAGTGTGATTAGTTTGTGAAAGCGTTCTGATGAATGTTATAAATTGGATGCATCGTCTCTTCAGCTAAGTGAAATCCTACAGTTCAAAAAATATTATCTTTCTTTTTTACAGATAGTGCACCCTATGCCTAAAGAGTAGGGTTTGTTCTGAAAAAGTAAAAGTGTGTATGCACCCATGTGACACATGCATGTCTTTTTGGTCCAAGCATTTGCTCATAAAAGATTTTGAGATTAAAGAAAGAGATAGATGGAGGCTTGTTTTTATCTTTACCTCACACCAAAAAGAAAGACTAACAAAGCATGTACTGTTCTGTGTACCATCACTTACACTGGATTGCGGGGGCTGACATGGAGTTATTTACAACAGAGTAAGCCAAACTGGGAAAAGTCACACAGTGTGATGGCTCTGTCTAGGATTCAGGGAAAAGACCTCATCTCACAGATTGTAGAGGGAGTTTTGTCTAAAGAGATAGTTGTTTCAAACCAAAACTCTGGACTCAGAGAGAGAAAGAAGTCCTCCCCCTCACTGTAAACCTGTCTGACAGTGGGTGGGACCCCATGGTTGGGAGATGCCTGGAGATTTCTGATGGCAGAGTCCTTTCTAACCCTGCCATGGGAAGGCCTAAGGGCTATTGCACTGTGGACCCCTTAGACACATTTGGAAGCCAATGTAAGGAAGTCTTTGCTCTACTTCTGTTATCACTAATCTCTCAGAAATATTGATAATGTTGCTTATTTCTCATCCTTAAGGAAGAATCCTCAGGGGAGAAGTGGTACAAGCAAGTGAAGCATCCTGGAGAAACCAGTTAAGAGAATGCAGTGGCCTCACTAATCATCAGAGAAATGTAGATCAAAGCCACATCAAGATACCACCTAACCCCCCACTCCCGCCCCCTGCCCAGTAAGAATGGCCATCATTAATAAAACAAACAACAACAGATGCTGGTGAGGGTGCGGAGAAAAGGGAACGCTGATGAGAACGCAAACTCGTTCAACCTCTAGGGAATACAGTGTGGCAATTTGTGAAAGAACTAAAAATTGACCTTCCATATGACCCAGCAATCCCCCTACTGGGAATATACCCGGAGGAACTCAAATCATTCTACAAAAAAGATACCTGCACATGCATGTTTATTGCAGCACTATTCACGATAGTAAAAACATGGAATCAACCATGCTGCCCATTGAAACTGAACTGGATTTTTTAAAATGTGGTACATATACAAAATGGAATATTATGCAGCCATAAAGAAGGACAAACATATGGACTTCACAGCAACTTGGATGGATTTGGAGTCTCTCATACTCAGTAATCTATCACAGAAACAAAGAACAGAGTACCACATGTTCTCATGCATAAGTTGACTCTGAACAATTACCATAAGAAAGGGATTGGCAGTAGTGCGATACTTCGGAAGTGGGGGTAAGGGGATGGACAGGGGACACAACATCAATAAGGGTACCTAATCTCAAACTAGGCAAAGTGGGGACCAAAGGGAGGCCTAAACTTTACCTATACAACGAAGGTACACCTAATCCTGAATTATACTTTATATCTTCAAAATAAATAGGTAAATAAAATTTTAAAAAATAAAAAAGAGAATTCAAGCTAAGCTCCACAGCTTCAGCCACTATGGCCTGGCCAAGAAGGCTGGTGGTGACCGTGGGCACCTGTGGAACAAAATCATACTTTGGGGATTCCCAAGGAAATATGGACTTTTGACAAAACCTACACAGACAATCACATTTTACTAGTAGAGTTTAATGGCAGTAAAAAATTGAAGCTCTATCACAAATACTATGGCAGTCAAGGTCACATTGGTGGCATGTTAAATTCATCTCTATTTTGCTATAGATACCATGAGTACTAAAAAAAAAAAACTCTTTCAAAGCAATTTATAATGGCTCCCATAACAATTATTCCCAAACTGTGCTCTGTGGAACACTAGTTCTCCAGCATATTAATAGATGTTATGTAAAAGAGGTTTCTATAGTTAAATAAATTTGGGAAATAGTGAGATAAACAAAGGTAAACAAGCTTATCACAGAATTTCTGAGAACCTTTATATACTAATGTGAATTGTGAAGCACTCAGAAAGGTTTATAAAAATACAACTTTTCCAAAACATATTTGACTTTGGAAATTTATTTTGTTAAGTATGGGGGGAAGGGTTAGTGCTCTGAAAAATAAACTTTGGAAAATACAGACTTAGTATAATCTCTTTTAAAGTATCAACATTAAAAAAATATAAGACAATCAAACTAGTTTTTTTTGGAAGTGACTAAGCTAAAACTCCTTTTTTATGCGCCCCAATATTATGCCCCTAGATATAAATGTATAAGTGATAATTTCATATAAAAATATTGCAAATAAAACCGTTTAACATGGTGTGTGTCTTAAAGATACCATTTTAGCAAAACACATAAACCAACAGATGTCATTCTAAAATACTTAGGCAACTTTACTTTCTTTACTCTTATTAATTTGTTTTTTTGTGTCAGTGTCTCACCCTGTTGCCCAAGCTGGAGTGCAGTGGCATGACCACAGCCTGGTACTTCTGGGCTTAGGTGATCCTTCTGTCTCAGCCTCCAGAGTAGGTGGGATTACAGGCACGTGTCACAATGCCTGGATTTCTCTCTTTCTATCTCTATCTCTATCTATTTTTAAATTTTTTGTAGAGACAGGTTTTGTTATATTGCCTTGGCTGATCTCAAACTCCTGGCCTCAGTTGATACCCCTGCGTCAGCCTCCCGAAGTGCTGGGATTACAGACATAAGCCACTGCACCTGGCCTCTTTACTCTTGTTTTAAAGACAGTGTTACTATAAACCAGTTAATTTTTTTCCTAATTGAGCTAACCTTTATAAAGAAACATTATCTGACTTAAGAAGTTCATCTTAAACAAAGGACAAAGTTTACAGATATGTAAAATATGCGTTGTTACTCCTTGAGTACTTGGAAGTGAGTATATTTAAGGTTTGTTGTGTTTGTTTTTTAAATATAAACATTGCCTTCCCTCCACACCCATATCAAACATGCTTTTAACTTTGTGATGCATCTTTGACCTTTCTCTGTAACTCTTCCTCATTCATATTCATTATTGGCCTCTTTTACCTGAGCTCTTCATCTCCAACTTACTTTCACCATCTCTTAAAGGCCCAGCACTGAAAAACAATGGTTCCACTAGTACTCTGTCACCTAGTCTTGCTGATAGCAGCTTCTAACATCTTTGTTCACTTTTTTCAAGATACCTGTAGACTAGGAGTGAGAGAAAATTATTTGAGATCAGTTTTCTAAACTTTTACATTTCATATTTCTATTCTCAAACATGTTGTTTCATTTTATAAACCTTCCTTGTCTCTGATGTAAGGATGGGTTCCTTTAACAGTTTGTTTAAGATTCAGCCCTGAACTAGAACTCTGGAAAGTCATTCATTAGCTTTTGTAAGAAATGAGAACTTCACTAACTTGGATTTCTACACCAAATTAATTTCCCCAGTATAATCTCTGGTCTAAAAATCATAACTGATTTCTTTAAAATCTAAATAATTGGCTGGGTGCAGTGGCTCATGCCTGTAATCCCAGCACTTTGGGAGACAGAGGCAAGAGAATTGCCTGAGCCCATGGATTCGAGATCAGCCTGGGCGACTTGATGAGACCTTGTCTTTACAATAAATCAAAACTTAGCTGAGCATGGTGGCAGGTGCCTGTAGTTCCAGCTACTTGGAAGACTGAAGCAGAAGGATCACCTGAGCCCAGCAGGTCGAGGATGCTGTGGCTGTGAGCGTGCCACTGCCCTCCAGCGTGGGTGACAGAGCGAGATGCCGGCTCAAAAAAAAAAAAAGTCTAAATAATAAGTATAAGAGCATCTATTGGCAAGTTTATAAAATGAAACAGCCTTAATACTGTCTTTGTAAGGGTTTAGTTCATGCTAGTAAAGCCTATTTGACCACAGGAATTCCTGCCCCGAGAAGACCTCACATTCATACACAGCACTACGGGGTACTGTCTTATGACAAGAACAGATGTTATCAGTGTGAAGTGAGCTCACAGAAAGCAATCTCCACTTAAACGGCAAGTTAAATCACTGCGTCTAACTCACAGGGATGAGGAAAGAAGTGGAGAGTAGTGTGAGGCTGAGACTGCTATAGTCGTCTAAGACCATTTAGATGGCTTACATTCCCTCGGTGGAAAATACCTACGTGAGGGATGATTATTTCCTCTGCTGTTGCATGTTTTGATTACCACCTGTCAAACACTTACTGGACTGGCACTGTCCTAGGAGCAGCACTGTCCTGGGTCCTCTCTCATAGAATCCTGTTCTCAGTGGCAGCTATGGGCTCCTCAGTCCCCACGACCGTGTAGAGAATAGCAGACTAGAACTCTGCTGCTGCTAGGAGCTAATGTTAGTGAGTGCTTCCTTTGTGCATCATGAATGCTCTTCTGCCAGGTCCCTACGAGGTCACTTCTCTCACCCTCCCTCAGGTCTTCACTCAAGTGAAGCCTCCTCTGACCACCTACTTAAAACTGCCTCCAGCATTCCTTAGTCCCCCTTCTATGCCTGCCCTTATATGTAACATTGTAATACAGCTTATTTGTTTTATGTATTCCCTCACTAAAATGTAAGCAACATAAGGACAGGATCATTTTCCCATTAACTTTGTTCACTGCCCTCTGTATCCCTAATGCCTAGAATAGTATCTGACAAAAATACTTACCTATTTTAATCCTCACAAAAACCCTATGAGAGAGACAATCACAATTCTTATGATCCAGATAAGAAAACTGAGCTTAGAAAGAGTAAATGACTTGCCGAAAGTCACACAGCAAGTATGTCGCAGCAACAAAAAGGAATGAACTAGTGACACATGCAATAGCATGGATAAATCTCAAAGGCATTATCTGAGAGAAAAAAGACTGGTCCAAAAAGCTACATACTGTATAATTTCATTTACATGACTTTCTGGAAAAGGCAAAACTATAGAAAACAGAATAGTGGATGCTGGATGACAAAAGGTCATGGAGGAACTTTTGAGGGTGATGAAAGTTTCATAGCTTAATTGTGGAGGGGTGGCATGACTACACCTTTGTTAAAACTCACAGAATTGTACACTAAAAAAAAAAAAAAGAATTTTACTGTGTAAATGTGGCAGGCAGAATAATGCTCCCTCTGCCCCAAAGATGTTCATGCCTTAATCTCCAAACCTGTTGATATATTACCTTACATGGAGCCTTATATGTTTTGAATAAATAGTAATTATTATTTTACAGAAAGTATCTGAATTACTGAGTATCTTGAGAAATTTTTATATTAGAATATATGTCACAAATATAATATTACACAAGCAATTTCTTTAATAATCTCCAAGCAAGACTTAGTGGCTATAATGTGACCTAATTTAGAAAAACAATTGGATTCCTTCCATAGATAGATAGATAGATAGATAGATAGATAGATAGATAGATAGATGAACATTAACAGACAGAATAGTTCCAAGTTACTGCTTTTAACTATTGGATTAGAAATAGTAGGTCATGTCCTTTAAACAGTCTGTGAACAAATTATCCTGCAAAACAGTTTCTGAATTTAAATCTCTATTTGTATACAACGAACATCTATCCAACCTGCTTTTCTGGCCCTTTTTTGGGATCTATGTAGGGAACTGGTTCATTGCACGTTCTCCCATTAGTGTTAATAAATTTAGCATAATATATACGTCCTCTCCCGACACATGGTTTTGAATGTTGTAAACTTTTTCCAGGTTTATTTTCATGTTTGATTTCTTCTTTTTCAGTTAGATACATTATACCAGCATCTTCTATTTTATGCTGTCTGAAAAACACAATTAAAAAGTAAATCATTTACCCCATAACCATTTCAGCACTGAGTCATAATTATATAAAATAAGATTTAAATATATTACAAACATCAGTCAAGATAATTTAGGCTGTATTAATAGTTAGAAGGGTCTGTACTATTAAAATTTGGGAGTCTATCTTCTAATTCTAAATCATATAAGAGATAAAAAGATTTGTTAATAATGATTACTCATCATTATATACCAGTGCAGTGCACTGACTGTCATTTGCTTGGAGTAAAGAAAGAACAATGATTTGGACAGGCTTATAGATCATGCTTGCCATACTTATGCATGTGGATAATTTACATGCTAAACTTATCTTTTTAAAAAGTTTTATTACCAAAAAATGGCTTTCTTCCCCTCTTTATCTAGTAAACAGCCAACTGGATAAGGTTAAACCATTCCATTTTAAAAGTTCACCTGGCAAACTTAAAGCTACCAAATCACCACCACTATGTATCTTTTCAAGAAAAGACACCATGCAGACTGAAAAAATCAATTCAATCACATCACTTCTTGCGTCAGGTAACTGCACTGTTCCAAAATACAAGTTATTCAGATAAAAAATTGAAGAACGGTTTATGAAAAAATAGCTTATCAAATTTGTATTCTTTTAAATAAGGAAAAATAGACATTGGAAAAGGCGATGTTTTAAAGCATCACATACTTGAAAAATAAAGAATATATGAATTTGAATACTTACATAGAAGCTTTTAAAACCAAAGCCGTGATCTAACATGTGAGTCCATAAGATTCCAAATGAATAGAGAAAGTGGGTAGTTCGGTTTAACCTTACACACAGCCCTTAAAATATAATGCCTACCTTCCTTCAAACCAAAGCCAGGTCCATCTCTTCTACGTCATTTTTCAATTAAAACTTGCCAGTGACTTTCTATGCACTTACAATAAAACACTGCCTCTTAATTGTAGCACTAAGGCCCGTGTGACCTGCTCTAGCTAGTCTCTTCAGCCTCACTCTAGCCAGCCTGCCTTCTTTAAATTTTTACATCAACCTCTTTTCCCCTCAGGGCATTTGCACATGCCATTCTCTCAGCCTGGACAGCTCTTCCCCAGCTCCCATCGCAGCTAGCTCATTACATTTAGGACCCATCTTAAAAGTTATCTCCTGCCAGGTGTGGTGGCTCACATCTATAATCTCAGCACTTTGGGAGGTGGAGGCAAGAAGACTGCCTGAGCCCAGGAGTTTGAGACCAGCTTGGGCAACATGGCGAGAACTCGTCTCTACAATAAATAAAAAAATTAGCGAGGCATTGTGGTGTGCACCTATGGTTCTAGCTACGTGGAAGGCTGAGGCGGAAGGATCACCTGAGCCCAGTAGGTCAAGGCTGCAGTGGCCGTCTGTCAGTGTGCCATTACATTCCAGCCTGGGTGACAGAGTGAGACTCCAACTCAAAAAAAAAAAGTTATCTCCTAAGAAGCTTTTCCTAGACTTTCCCCTTTCCACCTCATGTGTTCTGTTTTAGTACTTTGTTCATTTCTTCTATAACTCCACAATTTTTTTTACATACCGGTATTTGCTTACTTTTTTTTTTTAACGTGTGAAAATTGTTTCATTCTTCATTATGTTCCTAACATCAGGACAAGCGTCCTGTTCATCAAACGTAAATGAATTGCCATTATAATATTTACATACTTATACCGGGTGATCTGCTGGGATTGTTTTTCACTCCGGCCTTGTTTAAGCTGTATGCCCTCAACCATCACTTCAGCACACATAAAAACATTCAGAATTTTTGGATTCTAGTTGCCTGCTTCCAAAAAAAAAATTGCTTTCTGAAAAGGATGTGGAAAAACTGATATCTGGTAAAGTGTAAATAACTTCTAAGCCTTTTCTATTACCTTTCCAGTGATATAAGTATTTATTTAAAGGTGGAGACTTTGGGGTCAATTAATTGATCCTTGTAGACTTCCGGCATCAGTTTGTCCCACCTTTTTTTTCATAGTTGTCTCTCAGCAATACACTTGTACTGGAATCAGTTCCTTGGAAAGGACTGTGGCTATCTGCTTGCATACTTACATTTATATGATTAAGCACTTGTGGTGTGTGAATGGCTATAACTGATACATAAATGTGAAATATATGACTTTGTAGCAATCTCTTGCCTGAAGGAAAACATAGATTAAAAAAAAACTGGGGGGCACACCTCATCGACAAGGGTACCAGCATGATGAACATTTGTATACCTAACCCTAAATTGTGCCCCACATATTTAAAATTAAAAAAGAAAAACAAACAAACAAACAAACAACCTAATGAGCTCAGTAGTCAATTAGGCCTGGATTAGAATTCCAGTTCTGCTATGTAATACCTGAGCCTTGGTTTCTTCATTTGCATGATAAAGACAATCATCTATTGTGAAAGATGTGAAAAAAAAAAAACACTGAATAATTCATTCTTTCAACAGATATTTATTGAATTACTTGCCAGATGCTGTGGGAGGCAGTGAGGATACAGCAGTGACAAAGTTAACAAAAATTCCTGCCCTCACAGAGCTTACATTCTACTGGGGGAAGGCAGGTGGGGAAAGGCAGATGGGAAATCAAGTAATACAGTCTGTTACGTGGATGGTGTTAAGTGCGAAAGACAATAATAACGCAGGGAATGGGATAGGGGAGTGCAGAAATGTGGGAGGTTAAGTTTGCATTTTTAGGTAGGATGGAGACAGCGCTGTGAAGGTGGCAACTGAAAAAAGGGGGGAGGGAGAGAGCGCCATGGATATTTCAGGGATATTCTAGCAGAGTGAGTTATAACTGCCTCAGGTTTGCAGCAAAGGTGTGTACCCACTCTTAGCACAGTGTTTCTCAAAGCACCAGACGCTGGAGTGGCAGCACTGGCATCAACCTACTAAGTCAAGACTTTCGAGGCTGGTTCCCAGGAACTTGTTGAACCAGCTGTTTAGCTGATTCTAACACACACTGAAGCTTTAGAACCACTGTTCCAGGGACAAAAATACTGGCTTTAGATGAAGGTACCCCTGGCTCCACATCTCTCTCAACCATCATCAATCTTGAGTCAGTGGTTGTCAACATTTAGGGTACTTGGAATCACCTGGATGTCCTGTGAAAGTTCAAGTGATTGAGCCCCACCCCCAGAGTTTCTGATTCAGTTATGTCTGGGGTCTGGAGCTTCCCAGGAATTTGCATTTCTTGTCTTTTCTTTTTTAGTGCAGAGATAATGGCTTGCCAAATTGCACAGGCTGGTCTCGAACCCGCAGGCTCAGGCAATGCACTCTCTTCAGCCTCCCAAAGTGCTAGGATTACAGACTGAGTCACTCACAAGGTGCCAGGTGATGCCGGTTGGAAGGCCAGCCTTTGAGAATCCCTGCAGATGACAGGAAGGAGGCCAGTGTGCTGTAGAGTCCCAGAGGGAGGTAAGCTGTGTTTAAGGCTGGGTAGGGGGAAAGGGCTCGCTGTGTAGGCCTCACAGGCTGCTGTAGAAGCCTTGGTTTTTAACTCTATGATGTCCGATGAAGAAGAGTGATCTGTCTTAAGCTGTAAAAAGGCCACTCTGGCTGCTGTGTTAAGGAGGCTGCAGAGGGACAAGGCAGGCAGTAAAGCCACTAATTAGAAGGCTATGGCAGCAAACAGGCGAAGAAAGCTGGTGCTTGGGACAAGGTGAGGATGATAATAGAAGTGATGAATCGTGGTAGCTTCTGGATAATTTTAAAGGTAAAGAACCTACAGAAGCTGTCAATAACTTAGATGCGGGGTGTGAGAAGGAGTAGCTGACTTCAATAACTTTTGGCAGGTAATGCGTGGCAAGTCCCTGACATACAGTGTGTGCTCAGTAAATGGTGCGTTTTAAAAATTATTGGTTTAATCTCTCGGCCACTAGGAATCAGAGGTGGCAAGGGGACTGTGTGAGGTTTGGCCAGGACTGTCCGAGCTGAGGACCCATCCCCTGGGGCTCACCTACCCCTTCCCCCCGAAGGAGGGGAATATTTTTGGAAGGGGAAATGAAAAACCAAACCCAGCACTTACTGCTGCTCATCGGCCTCTGCCTCCATGAGTCCCTACGGCCTGGCACGAGGCAGCGAGGAACCGCGCAGGAAGAACTGCGACTCAGTCCTGGCAGGAAAGGGGCGCGCAGAGCGCGGCGACTGTGACTCGTGCGTTGCTAGGCGACGGCGGCCTTCCGGCGCGCGGCCTCGGAGCCGGGCGAGGGGGCGGGACCCGCTGCGCGCAGGCGCAGC